AATTTACTCATAATCTAATATTTTTTATTTTACATTGGCGGCGAAAGGACCTCCTTAATGATATTAAATTTTGAACTAATTGTTTTTTTCGTACAAATAGAAGATTCTATAAAATCGAGTTAGACAATTTGCTAATTAGATCATCAATATATAATTATATATGATCAGGCAAAATCATTTTTTCCCGGGTTGACGTTACTAGTATTGACCAATCTGCTAAATGAATGATTAGTAACAAAAATTTATTTTCAGACATGTAACCTACGCAGACAACACTAAAAGCGAGTGCCTTCTGGACGCACCATTGGGGTTTAACCGGTATAACAGCATGGCAGGTCAAACTGTCCCGATCACTCTGAAGCACCAAAACAGCCCGACTGTATCAGCAATCCAAGCTCAGGCAATGTACCAAAACTTCGGTACCATCCACTCTGGAATCCTCAGGGTATCAGAACCCGGTACCAGCTCCAGCTCTAACTCCAGCCAGAGAAGCATGACCCTGCAGAACCCCAAGAGAAAGTCTCAGATTGCCCAGAATACCTTCAGTACCCTCGAATGCGAGAAGAGAAAGCCACGCGCGGCTGGAATCGCCGGAAAGATGAACTTCTATACCGGTAGCACCGTATGACCACCACCACCGCCACCAACCCCGAGATAACTCCGAGAAGAGGATGAGTCCACGCTGTAAATTACCTTGCGAGTCTTACCGACTGTACTCTGTGTTATCCTCTGTCGTAAAGTTTCCCCGGTGGTGGCTGACAACAATGAAATTTGTGTCAATGTTGCTGATAATTGTTGATGAAAAACTCTTTGAAGATATTTTCAGTCCCTTCTATTGAAAAAAACTCAAGTGATTAATGATAATTATGAATGAGTAATGAGTAATGATTAATGATAAATAATGAATAAAAAATGTAAATATTGATAATAATGAACATGAAATGTTTCTTTAAGAGTATATTATTATTGTATCGATAATAATTTATTCTTTTTTCGATACTTGATACGTGTTCTGACTACTGCCAATTTTTAGCCGATTTATCCTTTGATATTTTTTTAATTAACGCTCAAATTTTATCGACAAATGCGATGTACCGAGTAAATAATATTATAATAACAATAATGACGATGAATAATACTTAACAATAAATGGTTAATAAATATAAATATATACAATGTTCGATTATTATAAATGTTGATTGTTGTGTTTACATTGCAGACAATTGACAGGGTGTTGAATAATAATTTTTTGGTTGTTAATAGTGACTAGTGAAAGAGACAATCTATGTGGTGATGATAATAACCGAGGGCGCAACATCACGGATTCTAAGATTTTAAAGTAGAATCCGCGACATATCAAAATATATAGAAGGATTAATAATACTACTTGTAATATTAATAATAATAATTATTATTATAAGTATAACTATTGAAAAATAAGTAAAGGGTGAGAGATTATTTTCGAGCAAGTGAATGTTTGAATTTTTGTGTACGTGTTGAATTATATTCTCTATTAATGAAGGGAATATGTATAATGGAATACATGTAATTTTGTTACTGACCATTTTGTGTTGGTAATGTAACAAAAATATTCTAACAAGTGGAATAAAGTATTAAATATGAATAATATAAAAATTGTTTTGTATAAATTAAGTAGCTCCATGTAATACCATGTATCTGATCGTAGATAAATATGTAATAAAAGATTTTAACTAACGATGATTATTTATAAGTAAATAAATATTTAATATTCGATGACCAGCAACTACTTTATTGTATTATTATATTATTTCTGATTGATTATCATTAGTGATTATAAAATTATGGGAAAACTTTGATAATGACGGATAATAGAGATGGTTTTTAGAATACATTATTTTTTTGTGAAACGGGAGCTGTCATATTTTATAAGATTTATAAAATTTTATTTTGCAAATAACTAGTACCTTAATTTGGCTTTAAATATTGACGAAAATTTTTTAGTGATTGAATTTTAAAGATGTATACTTAATTTAAATCGTAACTTCCGCTGCTGTTAAATTTTAAATGATCTTACTATAGAAATCTACACTAAAAAAAAAAGTTTACTTGATTTGAGAAAAAAATTCTCGAACCAAGAAAATTATTTTGAGAAGATTCATTGTCTAGAATGAGGACAAAAAATTTTTGACCAAAGTAATATTTGTTTAAAACAAAAAATATTTATTGGTTCAAGAATTTTTCTACTTAAATCAAGACGATCAATGTCTTCAAAATGACGTTCATAAATCAAGAATTTTTTTCTTGAATAAAGTTAGTTTTTTTTTTAGTATGTGGTTTAATTTTTAGAAATGGCAAAGCTTGTAGAATTTCAAAAAGTTACGAAATTTTGCTGATACTCTATTTTGAAATTGAAAAAGTTATTTCAAATAAGTTATACTGATATCAACAAGTAAAGCTTTTTGTCCATTGATTAATACTAAAATAGTGCAAAAAAACATATAGAATCTTTCTCTATACAGAAGAAAAATTTCTAAGAAAAATTTCTAAGGTTTTGAATGTAAAAAAATTCATTTTTAATTATTTTATCAAAATCTAATGCACAAAATTTCATCACCTCTACTTGGCTGAAATTCAATATTTATTTAATTTTCTAAATTGATTAGTGAAAATTAGTGAATTTTTATTGATATACTTTTTGACTTGAGTTAACACAGGTTTAATTAGTCAAAAATTACAATTAAAAAAAAAAGATAATCTTACAAAGTGAAAAAAATTTAGGACATATTTAAAAAAAAATATTTTATTGACATTAAAATATAAAAAGTATTTAATAATTCCAAAAAGTAAAATTATTAAAAATAAATAATACCTTATACAATTTACTTTAACAGCATCCGGTAGATGGCATTGGTATAATAAAAGCATTGAGCTTTTACAACATTTAATTAACGTAGTACAAGTACGGAGGGTATAATTGCTTCGGTAATTAACAGAATTCATTAAATATTAATATGCTATTCGAATTCATTTTGAATGTGGGCAAGATTTATTGAATATTTAATAAATAATAAATATATGCTCGTTGTATATATAAATATAAATTTTATTTCATTTTTAAGAACCCGATGCCGTGGAGGTTAATTTTGAGCTTAAGACACTTATTATAAGCGCACAGCCGTTGCATTATATTATTCTAACTCTTTATAATTTAACTTAGCAGAGTTGTACATCAGTCCCTCGGCGGCAACCACTCGTAGCTCGTAGTGCAGCTCTCGGCTTATATTAACTCGTGTACAGTGTGTTTAAAACATTCATTCGACAATCCCACGTATATAATTTCCTTGCACGCCCATTAGTCATGAATTCATGATCATACGTCGGAATCGATAAATTATAAATCTCACTCGTGACTAGTGATTTGGTCGATTGATTTTCTAACGATTCAGAGTTAGTTATATAGCGATCCACAGACACGGTATTTATTGTGAATTGAAACTTTTTTAGGTTTCTTTTGTTTATGTTTATATATTTATTTAATCTTGCATTTGTTGAGAGATATTTCTCTAATTCGGGGCATCAACCTATTTTCGATTGGATATTTATTATTTTTAATCATTTTTTTGCTGCGAGAGAAGAAGCCAAAGGCCTTAACGGCCATTGCACAATATGTAATTGTTTAAATTTACGTGTCAGAAATTATATATTGCAACACGGTATCATCTTTGGCTCTTGTTAATTAAAAATAAAGATATTGGATAGATGGTTGGCTAATTTCAAAATTTTGTAACCTTTAATTTGGCTTATTATTCGACCTCTTTGTTTGCAGGGTGAAACCTGAAATTTTTGTACCGATTCAGCTCGGTAGATTTCTGTCACATTTATTGAAATTAAAAAATCAAAAAATGTAATGGAGATTTTTGATAAAATTAATTCAAGTTCTTGAGCTTAAATTGTTTGTAATTTTTGATCGCTATATTTTTTGAGCTATAACTAAATTAATGCAAAAAATATAGCTTAAATTTAAATACGAATTTACGATATACTAACGACAAAAAATATTTGTCATAAAATTAATTATTCAAATAATAACTGCGCCATGAGAAATAATAATTACAATAATTATGACCATACTAATATTTTAAAATGATTGTGAAACAACAAAAAATTTAAAAGCCAATAAATAACTGCCATTAATGTTCGTTATGTTCGCAGTAAATTTTATATAAAATTATCGATTAATTAAAATAATTATTGCAATTTTAATAAAATTATATTATGAACAATAACTGCATTAACGTCAATGATTAATTGCAAGTAATTTAATCATATATTTAAATTGAGTTTAGAAGCTTAACCGAATTTCAATTCAATTAATGACGAGGTTTAATCGACGACTTTCGAAGCATACAATATTTGATCGTGATGGTAATTATAATTGGATATGATGTCAGTACACTTTTAAAACTTATATTATTAATAACCTTTTGAAAGATAATTTGATTTCGAGCGTTTTATTAATGAAAATATTTTTTAAACTGGAAAAAAAAATTAAAAAATTAGTAGTTATCAATTGCTTTGAAGTTTTCGTTAAATTAATGATTATATAGTTAAAAAGTGATCGTTATTGCATAATAATGGTCGGAAACGTTATTGTAGCTCAAAAACCAGGCGTGGTTGATTGACAGGACTAAAATTATAGTAAACTTAGACAAATAAGAAAAAAAGAGAGAGGAAGCATACATGATATATAAGTATTTGCCTCTTTACCCCGTGAAATCGATAGTAGACTGAGAACTAACCAACTACTAACCGGATGTCTTATTCAGGCCATCAACATTTTTTAGACACCGCGGCTGATTGACCTAAATTTTTATTAAAATTATCATCGTTACGATAATAGTAATTAAATAATAATTAATGAAGATGTTAAGTTTTTATGAATATATATATAAGATAAAGTTTGTATTTATGCAACATTAACGTTAAGTGTACGCAATATTTCTTATTTCAAAATCAAACATACTCATTTCATGAATAATTTTCTTTTTTATCAAATTATTATTATTCTTACTTTTAATTGCTGGATAAGTGATTTTAAAAATAAAAAAAAATTATATTCATTATATTTTAGTCAAGCTTATTTTATTACTAACGAACAAAATTATCCGATTGATTTATCTCAAACGTTTTTGAAAAAAAATATTTTTCTATTTTTCGTGAATTATTTTAATAGAGTATACATGTTTTTTTCTTAGAGAAACCAAAGAAAGTTTATGAAAAAACATGAAACGAAATATCAAGCCAGGAATTAAACCATATCTCCACACGGGTAGAAAGATTAACTTGACTCAAGACAAAAATTCTTAAACCAAAACTACTACAAGAAAATAATAAATTTCTTGGACGAAGAGAACAAATTCTAGAGCCAAGAAATTTTTTTTTAAACCAAGAATTTTATCTTAGCTCAAGAATTTTTTCTCTTAACTCAAAACATTTTTTTTCCTTGTTAAAAAATTTTTTTTCTCTTAAGTCACGCTAATCTTTCTATCTGTGCAGATTACATGTTAGGTTAATGAGATAGTCAATGGGAATTGTAAGCTACCACATTTTTGTCAGTTCTAAACGCAATAATGTTAATTTTTCTTT